CTAGGGTCGGGCTGACCTTGGCCATCTCTTGCAGCACTCTTGCCATCAATTCCATTCCATGCCACATGCTATATAAGCTTTCTTCCCACCCTTGTACAACTGCAATGTGTGCATGTCATTCAAAACCCCACACAGATCATTTTTCCTTGAAACAATGCTCTAAGTGTTCCTAAAAAATGTCAGGCTGTTACCACCTGGGAACAACTGGTCAGGGCATACCAAGAGAAGGAAGAGCCTTGGGCATAGTGTGAAGGCTCGCCTTCTCCCTCTCACCCCAGCTCAGGATTTACTAGTTTCTTCTCAGAAGTTCTAGCTGCACCTTCTTGCCTATGTGGAGTCACAGTTACAGGAAGCAGAACAGCCCCCTAGCAGGAACTTCCAAACAGAAGGCAAATGCTAAGCCCTCAGACTCTGTCATTACCAGGGAGCTACCCCTGAGCCATAACGGGCAAAATTAGAATCTTAGAGTCTGGGCTTTTTAAAAATAAATAAATAAATAAAATAAAAAGCATGCTTTATCCACAGGAGGACTTGATATTGGCCTACTGACATAGGTTTCGAAGGAGCTGGGTTCTAATTTGCCTTCTACCGCACAGTAGCTTTAAGACCTTGGATAAGGTTGTTCAATTTATTATCTACACCTCAGTTCCCCCACCTACAGCAGGTTCCATCTACCTTACAGAGTTGCTGAAAGGATTGTGTTTTTCTGTTGTCGTTTTTAAAGATTTATTTATTTTTAATTTTACTTATTATCATTATTCTTCGATTTTGACCAGAGAGAGAGACAGACAGAGAGAAAGGGAAAATGAGAAAGCAAGCCATCAAGTTCAGGACTTGAACCCCGTTTGGCCATGTGGGAGTCTAGAGTTTCAACCACCATGCCACCTGCCAGCCCCAGGATTCTGTTTTTTTCAGTTTGTCTGTTTTTCTTTTTCAAACTTTTTTTTTTCAATTGCCAGAGGGCACGTGAACTTGGAGACAGAGAGAAAGTAGTCCCCCAAACAGGAGCATAGTTATGCTGCCATCCCTTCTCCTCCATTTTTCCTTCTGAGTGGGATTTCAGATGTACATGCACACACACACCCAGAGTGTTTTCTCAGGGGCTGGATTTAAACCATGGTTGATCACGTGGAATCTGGCTCCCTTAACTACTGCACTATAGGGCTGGCCTAGATTAAGTTAAAGGATGGATAACATGTGCCTTGGGAACCAGCAGTTAGCGTAATGGCTATGTCGCTGGATTCCCACGTGGTCGACCGCGGTTTGCGTCCCGGACCCGGTGGCTTAGAACTCACGCCGGGTGCGTGTGTGTGCGTGCCCAAGATCCCAAGAGGAGAATGGAGGAGAAGGGATTGTGATGTGACCATCCCTCCTGGGGGGCGATTTCTCGCTTTCTGTCTCTATGTCTCTGTCTGTCTGGCGAGCGCACGCGCCCTATAGTGAAAAAACTTCTCAAAAAAAACAAAAAACAAACAAACAAAAAAAACCATGTGCCTTGCACACAGTAGGTATTTAATAAATACAAGATTTCTTTCCCTCCTTCACTCTTTCCCCTACAGATTAGGCAAAGAAAATATTCAAAATGGAGAACTGAAAATAAATCCCCTATACTATGACCTGTTTTCTCTCTCTCTCTTTTTTTTTTATCGAGAATTTTTTGTTATAGGTGCATGCACTTGCCAGAGAGACAGAGACAGAAAGTGAGAAATCACCACTGACCTCCCCCACCAGGGGAGATGGCCACATGGCCACATCGTAATCTCTTCTCCATTCACCTCTCAGGATTTTGGGCGAGCATGCACACACACACACACACACACACACACACACACACGCACGCACCCTGTATGTTTCAAGCTGCCAGGTCTGAGACCCAAAACGTGGTCAGTCACGTGGGAGTCCAGTGTCTTAACCACAACATTGCTGGCACCTGTTTTTTTCTTTGTTTGTTTGTTTTGCTTTGTTTAATCTGAATCTTGGTACCTGGTACAATTTTAAAACCTGGTACAAACCTAGGAAGGCAGGCATTATTTTGGCAGCCAAAGCACAGAGTGTAGCAAGGGTAGGTGCAAGCCAGTGCTGCTGAACGCACACTATGAATGCAGTACTAGATTTAGAGCCAGCAAAGACTCCTGTGTGGAGTATGCATGAAGCCTTAGAGGGAGAGGTCAGAATTACCAGGTACAGAGATTGCAGTGATCTGCACGGTCAGGGTCAGAGCGAAGTTTACAGGCCAAGAAGAATCATTCTGCAGAACAACCGAAGTCTGTTTAGACAGCTTTGTAGAGTCTTTTCTCTAAGCAACAAAGCTCCAAATACTCTGTTAATATTTCTTCTCCACTTAGCCATTCTTTACTCAGGGAAAAAAGGTTAAAATACACACACAGAAACAAACATAGACATCTCAACCTGAGGAGGCATAAACAATTCCATTTTTCTTAATGTTTAACTCAGCACAGAGGGTTAAGCCTAAATGATAAAACTAAATAAATGGCCTGACCATGCAAATATATCCTGTTGAAATGGTAAAATTCTTAGCATTTCCTGACCTTGGCAGTGAGAGAAGGTGGGGGTGGGGAATAATAGCTATTCCTACTAAATGTTACAGATCTACTTAGTATTAAGTTCCCTCAAAACTGTGTGAGTGAGGGGAACCAGCAGTTAGCGTAATGGCTATGTTGCTGGACTCCCACGTAGTCGACCACGGTTTGTGTCCCGGACCCGGTGGCTTAAAACTCACGCCGGGCGCGTGTGCGTGTGTGCCCAAGATCCTGAGAGGAGAATGGAGGAGAAGGGATTGCTGCGGCGTGACCATCTACCCTGGGGGGTGATTTCTCGCTTTCTGTCTCTATGTCTCTGTCTGTCGGGGAAGCGCACGCGCCCTACAGTGAAAAATCTCTCAAAAAAACCCCCAAAAAACAAACAAACAAACAAACAAAAAAACACTGTGTGAGTGAGAATGTGAAAAACCTATTCACCTGTGTTTTATGGTTAACGAAAAAAGTGTTAGAATCTCTGATCTGTCTTGCCAGGACAACTGCGGGCTTCTAGTTAGCAGTCCTGCCCTTCCTGAACAGTGGGTTTGGCCTAGTCTGACTCCTATTACCCTATTGATAGGGAGATTCCACCCCCACATAATGGTTGAAAGTGCCCACCCTTCACCCCCTAGCTCTCTTCTCCCACAAAGGAAAAATGCATGGAGCCAGACGGGGTCACAGTGGTAAAACACAAATGCTCTATCTATGAGGCTGACCTACCTGGGAAGGTCCCAGGTTTGTGTCTAGGGACCTCCCTGAGCACCTATGTACCCACGATCCGGGCTGGTTGAGGCTGGAGGTACATTGCAGTGCTAAGATCCTGTTGCGGATACTGTCTTGTCACATCTCTCACTCATGGAATAAATAAATGAAAGAAAACTTGGGAAAAAAAGGGAAAAGTCCAGTATGCTAAGCCCTGTATGGCTATAACAGGTGATAGTAAAATCCAGCCTATCACTTTAAAGGACAGCAGAGCTGATAAGTGTCATTCTCAATACCTATTTTTAACTTGTCCTGAACAAAAGATCTATCTTGTTCCAACTCCAGGCCTCAAATCAATTCAATCTTCAAAACAGTCAAACCCATAGATAAAAACGATGTGAGGGTTTCTATGTGGCTTGTTTGCAGGCTAAAGGTGGCCTCTCTGTTTGCTTTCATTGATTGCTTATGTGATTACCCAAGTAACAGAAGTCACTGGCACAGGAAAATTTAGCTCAAGCTACTTTCCTGGTACTGAAGAGGAAATTAATAGAAATTTGCCTTTAGAGAAATTTGAGGAAGTTGCTATCCCAAATAAAAAATTTCCAAGTGAAAGATTACGTTTTCTAAATGAAATCTACCTGCTGGTAGAAGAAAACAGGCCTAGGAGAACTAAGGGTTACTGATCATCTACTAAATATGCAACCACATTTACCATGTGCTTGGACAGAAGTGGGACCCGAAGGTGTTGGTCCTGCTAAAGAAACAGCCCAGAATGATTGGCTTCAAATATTTGGAGAAGGCGGTCAGATTCATAATATGCCAACCTTCTGGATCATAACCATTTTGAGATGCAAATAATCAGGGATCCAAAATGATGAAAACAGCAAGGATTAAGATATGAACTACTGGGCCCAGCAGGTGGCATGGTAGTTAAGGTGCTGGATTCCCACATGGCCAACCGTGGTTCAATTCCCAGACCTGGTGACTTGCTTTCTCACTTTCACGTTCTCTCTGGTCAAATTGAATAATAGTAATAATAAATAAAATTAAATAAATAATTCTTTAAAAAAATAAAAAAGAAACAAGCTACTTATACCCCAAGAGCCTTCTAGGACTTGGGAATTCAGAGCAACATCTCCACTCCATCCTGTCGGACTTGGCTCTAAACCCCAGGGAGGGAGTTGGCACAAAGCATTGTTCCCACTGTCCTGGCTTCAGCTGTCTGTAAAAGAAGGTAAGAACTGTGCCAAACACCACCAGGCACGGCTCTGCAATCCTACGCAGTCCAGGAGACACAGCACTCTAGGATGGGAAGGTGGTTATCTGCCTGAAACACCTGCCAAATTCTGACGATACCAGCATCTTCAGATGCCCACGGTCTGCTGTCAGAGAAAGAACGGCATTCTGCTGTCAGAGAAAGAACAGCATTCCTGAAGACCCAGGTCTAAGTCGTGGAATGACGCCAGAGTTCAGAAATGCCACCAACAAAGCATGCTTTCTGCTGGGGGGGAGGGGGGAGGAGAAACTGTGGATGAAAGGAAAGGTCCCCTCCTTTTGTTTCCCACTTCTCTTACAGTGTCACCCAGTCACAATCACCCAGTCATACTGTCAGTCACACCCAGCCACAAAGCCACCCAGAGTCACAAACACTGTTGAAGAGTCACCACATCACAGCCTCCCACACAGGTACAATCCAACACAGCCAGCCCCACCATGAGAAGAGACCCACTCCTCCCAACGTCCACAAACTTCTCTACCCACCTGATTGCCAAAGACAGCCACGGAGCAGGCTGTTGAGACCTCATTAGCCCCGAACCAGACAGACGCGATGCGGGAGGGCATGCCCAAGATGAAGACCTGGGCCACGGAACAGATGACCTGGCCCAGCACGGTGACCGGGAAGAGGTGTGGCCGCAGGCTGCCCAGCTTCACCCAGGCCCCTATGCAGTTGAGCGCAGAGCCGGCGAGGGCGATGGTGCGCAGGCCGAATTTCTCCAGCAGCCAGGCCACTGGCAGGAGCAGAGGGATGTAGGTCAGCATGTAGCACATGGACAGCCAGTCGATGGCAAAGGCACTGACCCCGTAGAAGTGCATGAAGATGTTATTGATGGAGCTATACTGGATCCACTGAAAGGCGTTGCACATGGAGTAGCAGCTGAATACCAGGACTACAGCCCAACGGCGCCTGCTCACCTTGATCACGCTGAGGTCCTCAGGGCCAGAGCCACTAGGCTGAGCCAAGCCGCCAGGTTGGGCCAAGGCACTGGGGTGGGCCGAACTGCTGGGGTGGGCCGAGACGCTGGGGTGGACGGAGACGCTGGGGTGGGCCGAGACGCTGGGGTGGATGGAGACGCTGGGATGGGCCGAGATGCTAGGCTGGGTCGGGACGCTGAGGTCAGCTTGGAGTGCGGACTCCGGGGATGGGGTGTTATTGCCCTCCTGGCTGGGACCTTCATTCACCATGACCACAGCCTCCCCTGGAGCTCTGGACAGGTGCTGAGGACTGCAGCGGTCTTAACAGACAGTGGCCTTGGCTGGTCCCCTAGAGGGGATGGGACATTTGCCACCACCTACCACAGAAGAAACAGATCCGAGACAACGTAAAGGCGCCAGTGGGGCTCCCGCGCTCACCCCAAGCTCCTGCGCCCACTTTTTCTTGTGACTCTCTGTCGCCACTCGCGGAGCTCGCTGCCCCCAGGTCGGCCGCAGACGCTTCAGACCGCTCCTGGTCCCTCCTGCCTCGGGTCCCCTCAAGGCGTTTTCGTCCTGGAAAATGTTCTCAGCCACCTCGCCGGCTAAGTTCACTCCCCAGCCGGCCTGGGGCCTCGCCCCCTCGGGCGCACGTGACCGCCCCGCCCCCGTCCTTCGCCACAGCTTGCGGGGTGCATTCCTCCCCCACGCTCCGGGCGCCATGGAAACCGCCCGGTTAACCCCCAACCCCTGCAATATCCCTCAAATTCATGTATCTCCACTCCCAGCGGACCCAGCAAGAAGATCCTTTCCACCCTTTCGAGAGAATCCTTTCCCAAACAGTCTCCTCCGGCGGGTCCGCATCTGCGCGCGCTCGCTGATTGCTGGGCGCCCCCAAAGTGCCCTGGAGAATGCGAGGACGATTCTCAACTTTCTCTCTCTTGGCTGGGCTCCCAACCCCTTGCTGAACTTCTGGAGTAAAGAGAGGCTTGTAGATTTCCTGGTCTGGTGCGCTCCCGGGTTAAAGGGTAGTTGTTAAAAAAAAAAGAAAGAAAAAAAAAAGAACAATAAACCTCTCTCTGCTCCCTGCTTTTCGCTGCGGCCGTGGTCCTAACTGGGATAGCTCCGACTTGAACAAGTTAAGTAAGGCTTATAATATAATTTCCTGATAGATCCCGGGCTGTCTCCGAGGCGAGGACTCGACAGGACAGGGGGCCGGGGAGAAGTTCGAAGAAGCTCGCGTGGCCCCGTGCCCGCGGTGCTGGCTCTGGGCGTAGTTTTGAAAGTGGCCTTTGCACCAAGTAGCCCCAGGCTGCCACCTGCCGGTCCCAGCCCATTCCAAAGGCTGGACTGAAGTACAGAAGTACAGGTTCTCTCTGATCCATTTCTAACCTGGTGGTGGTGAAGGGGGGGTTTACCAAGGTGTCCAAATTTCCCTCGGTTCAGATGCTGGCTCAGCTAACCGTGTAACTATAGATCAAGGTGCTGCAGCTCTCTGTACCTTGGTCTCCTCATCGGTTAAACAGGAATAATGAAAGAAGACCTACCTCACAGCGTTTTGAGACTTGAATGAGGTAACACAGGGAAGCATGTGGAAAATTCCAGGCAGAAAGTAAGCATCCATGAGTGTTGGCTATCCTAACAAAAAGCCAACATTTGTTGTGCAATGCTAAATGTTAAGGCATTATCTTATTTAAGCATCACAAGAATTCTGTGACCTTGTTACTATTGTGTGCCTGCATTTTATAGATAAGAACACCAAGGCTCATGAAAGTGAAGTCATTGCTTACTTCACATCCCAGCTGGCCTGAAGAGCCCTGGTTCTCATTCAGGTTTGTCATCATTCAAGCTCTAGCTTATGGACAGCGGCGTGGACACCACCTGGGAGCTCGTGAGAAGGGCAAACTCTCAGCCCACCTGCTCAAATAGAAGCTGCATTTTAACCAGTTCCCCAAGTGATCTATGTGCGCATTAAAATTTGAGGGCCACTGGGCGCCACTGCTTCCTCCCCTCTTTTTTCACTTTATAACCCCCCCCCCAAAAAAAAGAGAGTCATTTAAAGCTCTGGGGCAGTGGTGCTAATCCAGGTTGTACATTAGAATCACATGGAGGCAGGGAAAAGATGCTTAGTACTCTGGACATCTGAGCCACACCCCAAATCAGAACTCTGAGGACAGAAGGGGAATTTGCTTGTTTAACGGGCCCCTTAGCATGCTGCTAAGTTTGAGCACCCCTGAGGGGTGAGAATGACAAGTTCCAGGAGAGAGAATTAGAGGCAAGCTGTCACTCTGTTTCTACGCACCCACCCTTTGCATAGAAATCGTGGAGTCTTGGAATATAATGGAATATTCAAAGAGGGAATTCATACCCATCGAAGAATTTCTACACTAGTTAGTTATTCGTATTCTCAAAATTCTTCTAGTGTTGGGACCAGCAGTTAGCGTAATGGCTATGTCGCTGAACTCCCACGTAGTCAACCGCGGTTTGAGTCCTGGACCTGGAGGCTTAATCTCACGCTGGGCGCGTGTGCGTGTATGCCCAAGATCCCGAGAGGAGAATGGAGAAGGGATTGCGGCGTGGCCATCCCCCCGGAGGGGGGATTTCTCGCTTTCTGTCTCTCTGTCTCTCTCTGGCTTTCTGGCACACGCACACACCCTATAGCAAAAACCTCTCCAAAAAATAAAAATAAAATTATTCTAGTGTTTCCATCATTCTCCAGGGAGCCTAGGACCTCCGTTTTCTTGGAAGGCATGCTGAGATTTCTCAGTTTCTTTTCCCTAGGCCATCAAGGACTACTCCCAAAGCTTTTCAGAAGATACGGGATTCTTAACTTCATTTTAACAGATAAGGAAATTGGGGCCCAGAGAGCTGGGAATGAAGAGTTCCATGGCTAAATAGTATCAGAACAAGTAAACCATAAGACGGGTACTCCCAGACCAGCAGTTAGTGTAATGGCTATGTCGCTGGACCCCCATGTAGTCAACCGCAGTTCAAGTCCCAGACCCAGTGGCTTAAACTCACGCCGGGCATGTGTGCGTGCATGCCCAAGATCCTGAGAGGAGAATAGAGGAGAATGGAGGAGAAGGGATTACGGTGTGGCCATCCTCCCTGGGGGGTGATTTCTCGCTTTCTATCTCTCTGACTCTCTCTGTCTTTCTGGCGAATGCATGCACCCTATAGCAAAAATCTCTAAAAAAAAAGATAGGTACTCCCACCTTGCATACAACTTCTCTCATGAGCTCTTTTGCCATAGGGTGGGCGCCACCACGCCCTCTCATGAGCTCTTTTGGAACAGCACTTCGGTTTGGTGACAAATCCCAACTGAGATACAAGAGATATTTGGGGTGCTTTTGAGGTGGAGCATGTGGACCTATTGTGAGCTGGTTTGGATATATTCAGATTTGAAGTTCTTTTCTGCCATTATCAGCCTTGGGACCTTGGCTAAGGTACTTATCCTCTCTGTTCTTCAGTTTCTGAATCTATCACATAAGAATTAGAAATACCTGCCTTGTCAGGGTTGACGTGAGAGTTAAACAAGATAACATGTGAATTTTTTCAACAACAACAATAATAATAATTATGATATTCTAAATTATTGTCAATATCAGCTTATTTTAACCTTTAGAATAATACTTAATGCTAGTAAATTATTCTGCATTACAAAAAAAAAATGATATTCTGCCAGCCACCAAGGTAGTGCTGTTGATTGATTCTCACCAGGCGACATACAGCTACGTAAATATTGAGTAGATGTTACATAGAAATATTCTGCATTCATCCACTGAAAACACATTTATTGGGAAGCTTACTATGTACTACATTTGTATGTTCTAACTATAGGTGCCTACCTCCGGGCACACTTTGAAGGGGAAGGAAAAATGCATTTTAGGAATTGTTTCCTGAAAGGGGGCTCTGGTTCCGGATTCTGTTCTGTAGTCCCTGTCCCTGCTGAATCCCCAGGAATCCTGAGGGTACCTCCAGCCTGTAACTCTGGTTTTCTGGGAGCTCTGCAGAATGTAGCAAAGTCTGCCCCCTGCTGGAGACTAACAGCAACTCATGCAATTAGAGTTGAACTTGACAAAACCTTCACTCTCATTATTGATGTTTTCTGCCAACTAACCCCGTGCTGTAGACATGGGAGGTGCAGGGTTTGTTGCATGCACGAGAAGGCTAAATTTACAGTGGAATGAACCAGGGTGAGATTCTGGGTTATTCCCTGTTATAGAACAACACTAGGAATGCTACGCTTGTAGAACACCATGGATCTGTGAACTCAGAGTGAATGCACGTTCAAGGAATGTGGCCTTCTTGCTTGCAAACAGCAGGAGGCCATTAGATGGGTGTGTGATCTGACAAACGTGTGTTCCAAATTCCAAGGTGTTCTGTCCAGCCTCCGGCATCGTTTAGTCATAACCCCCTAATCGATATGGACACCAACTTGTTCCAGGAAATACCCTTATTTTTCTGATTCTCTAAAAAAGAACACTCTAAAAATAACTTTTCTTTCTCCTTTCCCTAA